TTCGAAACACTACGGATTTGAGTAAAAAATTCAGAAAAACCAGTAATATAATTGATATTATTTCCACATGAACAGTTATTTGAAAATTTGAAGAAAATAAGGTATAAAACGATGATCGTTTTCCAGATGGTAAAAGCAACTCTGAATATTAAAATACTTTTAAAACAGACTGAAACTGTTTCTTAATTATTAAAAATCACGAAATAATGTTAACTACAAATTGTAGTACCACTTACAGAAACGAAAGCAACAAAATAAAAAACTATGAATGCAAAAAATGACACTGCACTATAAAAATAACTTTTTGGAAAACAATTTATACAACTTGTAGAACAAAGCTATTCAGATTTTTTGAACTGCAGTGTTACTGATATTAGCTACACTACTAACTTTGAAAAAGGAATGTTCGAATGAAGAAAGATGTTACTGGAAATTCCAGATTGGATACAAACTTGAATTATCTCTACCTACGGTCATTTAATGGACTGAAACCATTTACAAATTGTTTATTAATAACTATCAGTACTACTAGGCTTTAACAATCATATTTTCATACTTTGCACCAAAAAACATCAGAGATGAAAAATGGGATTGGAAAACTAATTAATTACATGCAAAGGTTATGAAAAATTTGGCTAAACTAAAACTTGCAATATGCCTGTGACTATGGCATGGTAGCAAAGATGCTTTTGAAGAAGCCTATCCTAGAAATATCCCCACCAAAATGCGATAGAAATAGTAAAATAGTGGTGTACAAGTGCCACTGATGGTTTCAATTTATATCATTATTTGTTTGCATCCTCTTCATCAGATACAATGAGAAAAATATTATCATCCGGATCCCCATGTGAACTGGGATGATCTGAAAAGCTTTTTTTCACGATTAGATAAAAGACTGTTTAAAAAAGTATACGAAAACGATGATTCCAAGGTGATCAATTATAACGAAATGACCTGAAACTTCGTCACATATCCTTCCTAAAATGAACTCATTACTGCAATTTAATTATTACCATGCTCTTCAGGAATGATAGCCACCATATCGCTAATTTGTCGCTTTTGACACTGTTCTACCCGAGTTGTCAACGAACGAACCTGTGGTCCTTTCCTTTTGCTGAAACTCGAAATTCTAGAAATCGGATTAGTACGAATTCCAGGAGAAAACATAAGCGGTGGAGGTAGTCTCCCCACTGAAGAAAGTGGCCTAGGTAGTCCAGCAACTGCTGGAAGTCTCAATTTATTCAATATATTCTCCATATTCATTGACAACCGTTGATTTATCGACACATCATGATGAAACCTGACCTCTCCAATTCTGCTTTGAACATTTATGACGGATTTTGAGATAACCTCTGTAGGTGGTTGATTACTCACGGAAGGAAGTCCGATCATTGGTGTGACCATGCGCTGAATACCTTCTGTGCTGCTACCAATACGAACATTACGAATATTAGGAGGTGGCTGAGACATATCTGGTGGTGGACAGTTCAAGTTTACAGATCCTGAGATGAGATTTGGCGGTGGTGTAGTCATGGGTCTTAAATTTAACGACAGTGGTCTCGATACCATCCCAGCTGAAGGCATAGGAGGAGGATTAGAAAAATTAGGACCAGTGTTTAATGGTCGAGGCGGTGGTACTGAAAATGAAGGCGGTGGAACACACATCGAGAGTATGCTAGTAAAACCAGGATTGTTTCGCAGTACTTCAGTCTTGATTTCAGTTAAATTCTTAGGTACTGGTGCGATTGTAGAAATTCCTGGCTTGGAATCACCAGAGCTAGTTGGTTCAATATGATGTACTAGATTAGGTTCAGTTCTCGCCTTTAAGGATGGTGCTATAGGTGGAGGTACAGAAAAGTTAGGCGGTGGAACAGTGACCGTAGTTGGTCTAGAATTCAATAAAAGTGACGCAACAATTACAGCTGCATTACTAGACTTTAAATGAGTATTTGATGATGCAGTAGTCTCAGATAAAACAGTAAGAGAATTAGTCACAGAAGCTGATGGAAGCAATTGGTGAGACGCGGATGCATGGTTTGAAGGTGAGATGGAAACTGATGCTGGTACCGAACGAGCCGGTAATGAATTTTGCAAAATATTCATATGCATCATATTTGACAATACAGCCGGAACGCTGACCGAAGCAGGTTTATAAAGTGGAGGAGGCTCAGAGAGATTAGGAAGAGGTACTTGAGAGCTGCTTTTGACTTCACTCGAATTCATATGAATAAGATTTTTGTGATATGTATTACAAAGCGATTTATCACCATCCACAGAATCTATCGTAGAACTGAAAATATGTCATTTTAAATGGAAATACGGAAAATTTTATACTGTAGCAGCATAAACTAACCAAAAAATGGTAATTTCTAGGAAACAAAGAACTGAATCTGCGTATAAAAGGAAAAAGTACCATAAAGAAACAGACGTAGGAAAATTTGAACTTGTTGGAAGTGGTGAAGGAGGCTTATTAAGATGAAACTTATTTGAACTTTGTGACCCCGCGAAGGAGTGTTGACCAATTACTTGTATGCCACTGTCATTCTCTGCAAACACTGCGAGAGCGTTAAAAGACAGGCAAAGTAAGTTCAAATTCTTTTACAGTGACATATGCTTTCCAAATATCATCGAGTTACACACTATCTTTATCAAGAGATACTTTTGAATTTTAGCTTACTTATTGCATCTGTTTGCGTCACGGTTTGACCTGACATGACTGACTGCTTAAATGCATCGTACATTTGACAACTGGTTGGATAAGATGTTTGACTTGAACTGGCTGAATTAGTCAAATTTAGCAATACAGATGAACGACTGTTAAAGTTATCCACCTGAAGTGGAAGATTACCCTTCGAAAACAATTCATAAGACGAATCTCCTCCAGCAAATTGTAGATTACTTTCTGCAAAATCTGATCTCCCGAATGGCTCAGAGTTAGGATCATAAGTGCTTGTCGACGGAATCACTAAAGAAGATCGGTCCACATGAGTAGGAGCACATAAGTTAGGGAACTGATTCCTTTTTCCGTTGACAGGACATAGTGTTTGTTCTGTAATTGTACCAACGTGTTGCATACGACCAGTAGTGTTCACTATGTTTGATCCACCATCAATTTTTATGCTTCTCATTTCAGTTCGACTTAAATCTTCGTGTATTCCACGTTTATTCAGCAGACCACCAAAGATTGCTCCATTATTTTCTGCTTTTTGTAAATCACTAGAAATATTTCCAACGTCATCAAATCTGATTCGTCCTCCAGCACGTAATTCTTTACTGTGTTGATTCACTTCAGAATCATTTCCAGAACTCAACCTTGCATTTGCAAGAACAACTCCTTGAGATGGATCAGGGATATTAGTCTGCTGTGTATGTTCTTCTTCTAACAAACCAGGTATTGCTTCTCCGTTACTTTTCGAGCTTTCTGTAAAAATACTTTTTATAGGATAAAATAGGAATTATGACAACAGAATCCTAACAATATTATTTGATTTCAAAAAATGTACCAACTAAAGAGCTTTCTAAAAAAATAATTTCTGCAAATAATAATTCAAAAACAGCGGTATTTCACAAGTTGTTATAGTTTTGCAGAAAAAAGAATGCAAGAACTGCTAAATTCGTTTTTTTGTTTTTATTTTCTGATCAAAATAAATATTATATAGATGATCAAAAACATTTCTGGTAACTCTACCATTAAACAACGGTTGCAGAATTTGAGGCAAAGATGGGAGATCCAGTCTCGAATGTGTTGGAATGATGGACAACAAATTTTCAATGTCCTTTTTAACCTCCTTGTATATTCCTTGCAGAGTTCTATAAAAACAAGCAAAGTATACAAAATATAAGTTCTAATGACTCTGAATTTAGTAAAATAGAAGTAGAAAAATGACCCTGAGTAATCTCGAATTTATGGCTTTCATGATTTGTATCTACAGAAGTGCTATAAATGAAATCATTAAAGACTTGATACTTCTTAAATGCTTACTCAAATTGAGTTTGTCGACCTTGCAGTAATCTCTGTTGCTCCTTATCAAGTTCAAACATGCGAGCAATTAGATTTCGGAGCTCTTTATCCGACATACTGATAGCCTATACATTGAAAATCAAAAAAGTAAAATAAAATATCGTGTATTTGAAACTGTGATATCCAAAATAGTTACCTCACTTTCTTTAACACTGATTAGAGTTTCGACCCGTTGACGTAATGTGTGAGGCTGGTCAGCAGGGCGTACAGCACTTTCATCAGAAGTGATTAGTTCTGATAATGCAATCATATCAGCAGATGCAACTGCTTCTTTTAATGGTCTAGGTCGTTCTTCGACTAGTGTTTGATGACATTCCTGCTTAAAAAAGAATGGAAAGAATGAAAACCTTGCACATCCCGTTAAACGCAGTTACACTAGTATAACCTCTTTCTACAAGGAAAATTTTACTGATCAAATATCAAACAAATTCACATATCCATGATTTTGAATAAGCAAGGAATATTAAAATTCTTATCAGTACATTTAACTAAAATTTCCAGTAGATTCTGTGCGCTAAATTCTATTCCAGAATGTTTCGGACACCGAAATATTGCACTGATAAAGCATCTCTAATACCTGATTAGTTCGTTCATCCCAGTGTCTTTTCCGTTGTCGCCTTTCTTCATCGCTGTCATGATGTGGTGACTGCTGATGCAGTCCCCTGACAGTGCAAATTTATTACGCTTTAAAAGTAAACAAACATTCCACATATAATTCATATATTCACAAGTTTTTATCTACCATATTTCTCTTTTTTCCTACTGCTTTTGTCCCACGGAGGATTACCAAGAAGGTCCCATTGAAAATAGTATAGTCACAGATATAAAATGACAATAACAGCAAGTAAGCATTTTTTAAAATATATTTTGAATGAATTCACATAAATGTTTGAAAAACTGTTCGTAATCAGTATAAATACTAACTTCCGAAGTGGCAGTTTCGATTTAGAACTGAAGCTCATATTTTTCAATTTTTCGAAAGCTGTTTTTTTGCAGACGTTGACATCTGTCTTGAAGGATACTTTATCGTCTTGACAACATTGTTTACATACTTGGTGGTCTAGCATTTTCTCTTCATCATAAATATCCTAAAAGAAAAAGTAAACTACTACAATACTCTATGAGACAGAAATATCGTTTAGGATTACAATATGAAATAATTACCAATACAGTGGGGGCAATTTCAGCAATCGATAAGGAACTTACATCATAGTCAGATAAATCACTAACTTCGCCATCTTCTTGTTCCATAATATTCATCTGAAGCAAAAAATTTGAACTATTTTCGTTATCATAATCATTCATATTAAGCAACAACCTAAAACGACTATAGCTAGCTTTGTTTCGCTTAAACACGAACAGTAACAAACCCCAAGCACATCGAACAACCCACAGGAGATTTTTTAAAATCTTCTTGCACAACAAATGTCAACTCGATAATCTATAAGTTGGAATGGATAGTGTGCAAAGAAATTATTGAGCCAAACTTTACTGGACTCATATAAATTAATTTCGACAATGACAACTAACACCTACCTTCTACTTCTTACTTATCAGTTCTTATTTCTCAGACTCTTTGTAATTCTTCTAGAATCACTGATTTCTGGGAAGTTTGAGAAACAAGAACTGATAAGCATATCATAAAGAGAGCAAATGACTGAACAAAGCCTTTTCTTCGAACTAGTAACACAGATATCAAGCAAAAATTGTTTCGTACATTTTTAAGAAAATCGCATCTAAAGTATCCTACGACTTCTACTCATAGCAAGAAAGCCAGTGTTATTTCATTCAACAGCAAAACTGTCAACGCAAAATTTCTAGATTGCTGATTTTTTTAGCGTAATGTTTTGGTCAATAAATGAGAAAAAGTTATGAGTTCTAAATTACCAGCATGTTACCATTAGCGGTAAGTTGTAAGTGCATTAGTGACTTCCGGTAGCATTTATCATTAGTTTCTTTCTTTTTTACTTTCTGAGGATGTATATACAATAAACTAGTCTATGCTAGTTTTTCCAACTGTCTTAAGATAAACAAATATGTGCGCTTATTTATTACTCTATAAATAAAAAGTAAAAAAAAAGGTGGGGGTGGGGGGGGGGGGGGGGG